CCCAGAGAAAATGGCAAACGGGTTAGTATGAAGTGTATGTTCCTAATTTGGGCCAGAGAGAAACTGCAGACTGGTGTGGAGCCTTTAGTGAAAAAAATGTTCATTTGTTTGTCTGTTGTTATTTGACTTTAAGACAAATGTGTAGAAGATAAAGAAGCAGTTCATGCTTAATTGATCCAAAAGTGAAATTGCTGTATGCAGCATTTCCTCCCCCCCCCCCTTTTGCTTTTATGGATGGTGCGTTCTTTTTCTCACATAGTGCCAATCCTGTGGTGAGGCACTTGTAAAGTCTGGAGGTTGGGGCATGTGAAATAGGGAGCTGGAAGGAAGCATGCTGCTATTCCATTAGAAGCAAAAGGAAGTGTAGGCCCGTAGAATACTTCTTCTTTCCCTTCCTTGCTAACATCCAGCACCTGCAGGACCAAAATGCTGAAAATAATATTTCAAGGATCACAAAAGAAATAGGAAACAAATTTGCTGGCACATATTATATACACTTATTAATCCCAAGGAAAGGCAATTTCAGCCCAATGGATTTTATTTAGGGATCAAGTGATGTATTAATGTCCATATCACCCAAATCTTATCCTAACCATCACTTGATAACAAATAGTAAAATTTGATCCCACTTACTAGCTGTACACTTGCATGGTTGCACATGTAGAACTCTGCACAGAGATGCTAAACCATTACTACAAAATATGAATCATTTGTCAAACTGGTATTTAGAGGAGCAAGGGAACTCAGGGCTGGCTGAATGACAGAGTAAATGAAGACATACAGAGAAAAGTGTTTTTCTTCAGAAAGAGGGAACAGCATGCTGAATTTGAAAATAGAAGGGCTCATAGTGCTGGTTAAAGCTAGGCAGTGTGCCAGCAACTGAGAGCATATGTAGTCAACACTTACAGCTCTGCCAAAGCACTTTCTCATTTGTTATATTTTTTTCCTCCTAGGCTCAGGTCTCTCTTGGGCAGACTGCCAGTTCTGAGACGGTTCTGTGATGTGGGGAAATGTCCACTCAAAAGCAGGACCCGAAATGCATTTTCACTTGCCATCAAGTAGTATTTGAACAGAGATGAAATAATACTCAAAAGGTCCCACAGATTATAAACAAGTGTGTTTGTTAGTACGTTTCCCAACTTGATATAGTGCTGTTTGTTACATTTTATGTTCTGTACAGTGTTCCTATCCAAGCCATTGTGAATTAATTTTCCATTTAAAATTAAATAAAGTATTAAATATGTTACCCCACTCAACTTATCACAGATGGTTCTACAACTGGGGCACTGCATCGCTCAGAAAAATGAAAATAATTCACCTAAAGCACAGAGTTAAGTATATATAGAGCCCTGTGCGGATACAAATTTATATCCACGTATGTGGATATCCGCGGATATAAATCAGTATCCGTGCAACTGCAGCGGTGAAAGGAGCAGAACATGGGGCCACCACTGCCAGGAGCTAGCGCCAGCAGCTCCTCCAGCGTGGCTATACCGCCCGCAGCCCCGCTCCCAGCTCTACCTCCATCCCTTCCACGCAACTGTCTGCATCTCCTGTCGGGGGCATGCATGCCGCTTGAACACAAGAGTGCAACCAGGGACAGCTGCTGATGAGCCTGGTGCCTGCCCCAGTGGGCGGGCTGGGGGCCGTACAGCCGCGCCGGAGGAGCTGGCTCCTGGGAATGGCGGCCCCACGTTCTGCTCCTTTCGGCGCTGTGGTTCCCAGGACAGCACTGCGGTTCCGCGAGGCAATAGAAAATTACATTAGGGTCATAGAAGCAACAAGAAAGAAAACAGTGGGGGAACTGCTCCACATTTTAGATGTCTATACACCAGTACAAGGAATATGGGGAAGACCTGGAAATATTAGTACAAAGAAATTACATCTTAAGTGGCATCACTGAAACTTGGTGGGATAAATCGTGTGACTAGAACACTGGTATAAAGGGGTATAGCTTGTTCACAAAGGACAGGCAGGGGAAAAAGGGAGGAGGTGTTGCATTATACATCAAGAATATACACACTTGTTCTAAGGTCCAGAAGGAGGTGACTGGCAGACCAGTTGAATGTCTGGGTGAAGATAAAAGTGTGTGTGTGGGGGGGGAAACCATGGGGGCAACATCATGTAGGAGTCTACTATCAGGAATAGGCAGAGGTGGATAAGGAATTTCTAGTAAAAATAACAAATATCCAAAACAAGACCTGGTAGTAATGTGGGATTTTTAACTATCCAGCCATCTATTGGAAAAGTAGTATGGCAAAACAATATGTCCAATAAGTTCTTCAAATGTATTAGGGACAGTATTGTTTCCGAAGATGAAGAAAATAACAAGGTGAAAACCATTTTAGATTTGATTCTGGATAACGGAGGAATTGAGGCAAATCTGAAGGTGGAAGGCAATTTGGATGAAAGTAATCATGCAATTACAGATTTAATGATTCTAAGGAAAGGAAGGCGTGAGAGCAGTAGAATAAAGATATTGGACATTGGACTTCACCAAACTTAAAACTGATAGGGAAATATATGGGAAGAAAATGTAAGGGAACAAGTTGTTTAGGAGAACTGGCAGTTTCTCAGAGACAATATTAAAGGTGCAACAGCAAACTATTCTGAGGAGAAGGAAAGATAGGAAGAATAGTAAGATGCTGATACAAGCTCTTTAATGATCTGCAGATTAAAAAGGAATCCTACAAAAAGTGGAAACGGGGACAAATTGCTAAGGATCGGTCCAAAACAATAGCACACGCATGTAGGGACAAAATCAGAAAGGCTAAGAAACAAAATAAGTTACACCTAGCACGGGACATCAAAGGTAATAAGAAGAGTTTCTATGGATGAAGGAAAATGTAGTTCCACTACTTAGCATAGGAGAACTATTAACAGATGACCTCAAGAAGGTGGAGGTGTTTAATATCTGTTTAGTTTCAGTCTTTCTTAAAAGATAATCGTGATTGGATACTCAACACAATTAAAATTAACAAGGTGAAAGGAATACAAGCCAAAATAGGGAAAGAACAGGTTGAAGAATTATTAAAAAGAGCATGTGTGTACAAACATGAAGCAGACCTCATTTAAAGAATGCTAACACATTCTTCCTCTTTAACTGTTTGTGTTTCAGACTTGCCCTCCTGCAATTAGCAATTATTAAACAATCAATGTGTAAGCATCTAGAGGATAATAAGGTGATAAGTAATGGCCAACATGGATTTGTGAAAAACAAATTATGCCAGTCCAATCTACTTTCATTCTTTGACAGAGTTATTGGCCTATGGGCCAGGATGTTGTAGACATTATGTATTTTGATTTTGACACAGTCCAACCTGACATTCTCGTAAGTAGAGAATTGTGGTCTAGATGAAATTACTATAAGGTGGGTGCAAAACTGGTAGAAAGAATGTACTAAAAGAGTAATTAACAATGGTTCACTGTCAAACGGTGAGGATATATTTAGTGGAGTCCCACAGGGGCTTGTCCTGGGTGTGGTACTATTTAATATTTTCATTAATGACTTGGATAATGGAATGGAGAGTACACTTATAAAATTTGTGGATAACACCAGGCTGGGAGGGTTGGCAGACAGTATTAGAATTCAAAATGATCTTTATAAATTGGATAATTGGTCCAAAATCAACAAGATGAAATTCAATAAAGGCGAGTTCAAACTACTACACTTAGGAAGGAAAAATCAAATGCATAAATACAAATGGGGAATAACTGGCTAAGCATTAATATTTCTAAAAAAGGATCTGGGAGTTTATCGGATGAGCCAACAATGTGATAGAGTTGTGAAAAAAAGTGAATATTCTGGGGTGTATTAACAGGAGAGTAGTATGACATGGGGCATGTTGTGTAAGACATGGAAAGTAACTGTCCTGGTCTGCTCAGCACTGGTGAGGCCTCAGCTGGGGTACTGTGCCAGTTCTGGGTGCCACATTTTAGAAAAGATGTGGGCAATTTGGAGAGTCAAGAGGAGAGCAACAAATGACAAAAGGGTTAGAATAACTGGGCATGTTTAGTCTTGAGAAAAGAAGACTGAGAGGGTCCTGATAATAAGTTTCAAATGCTTCAAAGTTTTAAATTAAGGGCTGTTACAAAGAGGATGGTGATCAGTGTCTCCATGTCCACTGAAGGTAGGACAAGAAGTAATGGGTTTAATCTGGAGAAGGGAGATTTCGGTTAGATATTAGGAAAGCTTTCTAGCTATAAGGATAGTTAAGTACTGGCATAGGCTTCCAAAAGAGATGGGATCCCCATCACTGGAGGTTTTTAAAAACAGTTTAGACAAACACCTTTCTGGGATGGTCTAGGTATTCTTGGTCCTGCCTAGATGACCTTCTGAGGTTCCTTCCAGCATTATATTTCTGTAATTCTATAATTCCACTTTCATTATTATTATTATTTATAGCTTTGGGGATCTATGAAGAGCCATGGATCAAGAGGGCAGCTGCTGTTATGATGGAATCTAGAGCAGCAGAAGACTTTACTGGAGAATGTAGTACCAATGGCAAACCTATCAGCAGTATTTTTAAACATGCAAAGTAATGAGCACATGCACAACTAAGGCAGGTTGCGGTGTTCCAGCCCAAATTTTGACCTAGATCAATTACTGGTTATTTCTGGCCTCTTTATGGAAAATGAGAGGGCTGAAAAATTAATAGGACATTCCCCCTCCATTTAGACACTTTAAGTGTCATGGCACCTGGTAATATGCAAGTGCTTTTTTTTTTTTTAACCCAAATCTTGTCAAGAGAGGAATTTTCCAGTCCATAGTCCCAGAAAATGTAATGCAAAAGTATTAAATCTAATTACTAACCTGGAAATCTGTTAATATCCACAACATTTCCCAGGTATGTTTTAGAGATTCAGTGACTGCATAAGAATCATCCCTAATCTCGCTCTCTCGCCACTTCAAATAAATTTTGCTTTTTGATAACAGCTATGCAAAAAGTACCCTTGCAGAAACCCTTGAAGAGACTTCAAAAGGAACCTAAATCTCTCACCTGGATACATGCCAAAGGCTCATTTGTCCAAATAGAATAGCCGCCAACTAAATATATTCTTCCATTGTGGACAGCAACGCCAGATTCATTCTGACCTAAAGCAAAGAGGAAATCGAAAGCACTCGCATCTTTTAATTAACTCTGTTAGTATCAAAAGTTGGAGATTTCATTCATGAGATGCACATGGATTTGCTGTAACATGTCAGTTTCAGAACTACCAATTCTGGCAGTTAAAGTGGAGAGAAGGGCTTATGTGCTATCCCCAGGAATGCAATTTGAGTGCTATCCTGAAGGACAGAGATGATGCCAAAAACCACACACTGCAAGCCAGGTTAGTAACACTTGAATAGGGAACAGACTGCAAAGTTTAAACTGTATTAAAGAAAAGTATATTTTAAAAACATTCTTTTCAGTAGCGTAAGAAATACTAGATACTAATACATCTCTGAAGTAGGAAATAAGCCTCGTGTGCATGTATCTACAACTATACGTGTTTTGTGCGTGTATTCCATATGTTTAATATAAACATACTACTCTAACAGGGTACACTGTTAGACCAATGAAACCAAACTGGCATGTGTGCAGACCTCTTGAATTCTACGGGGTTAGATGGGTATAGCTAAAAGCAGAAGTTATTCTACAAATCTCAATCCTATTTTAAATAGCAAAAGCCTGTTTAAGGAATCCGCACATGTTAATGACATTCTAGAAAAATGTAAACACTTTAAAACTCAGTGTCCCATCACCAAGCACAGCTATAAGTGGAATCTTTAGTGGCAGTCTCAACAGAGAGGCTGAGTACTGAAGGCACAGAGAGGAAAAAGTACCCTCATCCTTGGAACCATTCCTTCAAGGTCAGGTTTGAAGCACAGGCCCTGCTACTGATCCCGTTGACTGCAGAGGTGCTCAGACACATCCAAA